TCCCATTTTGGTTTTCAGCTCCTCAGTGGGCTTGGCATAGTTCTAGAAATCTCTATGCAAGGGCCCATTTGCCCATGTTCCTCAGAGCCATGGTAGACAGGCTGGATGCCTGAGTTGCTCTTGAGGAGAGCACAGTCAGCATCCCTGAGAGAGGGCAAGGAAAGAAGGCCAGTGCATGCTTCCTGCATGCCATTGCTATTCAGAAGGAGGGAACCCATATGCAGGGATCAATAGTCCCACCATGAGACAATTGCTGCCAGGGGACTCTAAGAACAAATGCTGGGAAGGGGATAATTTTCTGTCCTCCTCCTCATCTTAAGTAGGTTACTTTCTCTTAGGTACACCTGGCACATCATCAGGAACATTTCCCCAAAGATTGGAAGACTAGGTAGTAAAGTGGCCTGCCAGAGTGGGAGGCACATGTCGTAGCACAGATTCAAATAAGGAACAAACACCCAGCACACCCCATCTGTGTGCAGCTCAGGGAGACTTCAGCTCAACAGATGGTAAGTATTTGGAACCAGTAACTCCTCAGGAACTACCCCACATCACATGTGACCAGGTCAACTGTGATGGTACACCCCAGGCCAAGGAACACAAGGTAAAGAAAGACAAAGGAGGAGAAAAGGGAGTGATCTCAGACACGCCTTTCTTCACTCATTCATATGGGTACTGTATTGATCACTTCCCATAGAAAAGACACTGGTGAGTACCAATACGCTGAATAAGCCAGAGGATGTACTGAGCCCCAAGGAACTTACTGTCCAGGTGAGTTAGGTAACCAAAAAAAGAACAGAATGACTTCAGACAGAGATTAATGCTCAGGAGAAAGCTCCCACTCTGATAAGCCAATGTTAAGACACTAAGGCAGGGGATGGGGGTCATTTGAATTTGGGCCAAAATCGGAAATAACTGTGGAAGGAGCAGTCTAGATAGCATTGTTCCTAGTAGTAGGAACAATCAAAGTAATGCCCTTGTGCAAAGCCATGTGCTTAACACTGGAATAAAGACCCAAAGAAGACATAGTTCTGCCTTCCAGGACCCTCAGAGTATCTGCAGGGACTAACAGTGACCCATAAAGAACTGGTTTCCTACATCTGGAAGGAAAACCTCTAGATCTGCCACAACATTCTGTGTTACTTTATGATGTTGCCATATCAAAACTCAGCCTAAATCTTGTACATTAAGTCAGACTTTTTATTTTTAACTCATCCAAGAAAAATGCAATGGTTCAGCCACTACAAGTCTAGAAACAAGACAGGGAACAGAAACTCATCCTCTGGCTTGCTCCTATACCCAGGAAATATTTGACTTTTGTAGTAGCTGTTTTATTGGTGGAAAGTTCACTCAATGAGCAAATCATTGAGTGACATTCTGATGCGTCATGGAGGTTTGTATTTGGGCTTGACTAGCCCAGGAGCCATCACAGGTTCTGAGCTGCTTACTACTGTCTCTACTTTTTAATACAGTCCTAAGAACTGAAAACCTCCCTCCAGCAGGGGATGCTCTGCTCAGAGCCTCCCCTCTTGCCATCCTAGCCCCATGTATTAATCTCAATTATCTTGTTCACAGGTTGGCTTTGGTGAGTGGACCCAGGCCTACATCCACACTTCATCTTCTGGCTCTGCACCCTTCTTAAGAGAACCACACAATAAATCTTTATTGTTTGATAATTGTTAACATATAAAACAAAGTCAGAGAAATCAGGTAAGGCATGAAGGGTATTTTTGCTTTGTCTTCATTCATTCATCTGTTTAGTAAACCCCTGTCATCCCAGGCAGCTAATGACATTAAAAAATGTGATCTTTGCTCTCCTATAATACACTCAGCCCACTCTGAAAGACAGTTACACAACACTTACAAAAAGGAAATGATGGTAGACATTAAATCCCACTAGGGAAGTAGGAAGACACACAGTTCATTGGGCACTAATAAGTCTTGGGGAATCTCAATGCATGTGGTCTAGTTCTGTTGCTTGCTACTGCTTTGAGTTCAGGTAAATGCTGTTCTTTGGGTCTCAACTCCTTTATCTATAAAACAGGAGGCAATTAAATAAATTTCAGAGACTAGGGAGGGTTAACTGTTACATTGTACATTTAGTTCATAGTACCACACAGTGGCTGGTCAATAAGTGATAATATTACTCAACTTATTAACATCATTAATAGTACCTCCTGCTAGTCCCACTTCAAAAATTCCTAGTTATTCCACCTTAATCAAATAATGCTTTTTTTTTTTTTTTCTGTGAGTGGAGGGGTTAGACTAGCAATCCAATCAGGGTTTCATATGAGCTAAGCAAACACTCTATCAGTAAAGCTGTCTCCCCAGACCCAAATGAGGCTAATTCTTCATGCCAATGCCTCAATTTTCTCATCTGTAAAATGTGATAATAGTAGCAACTACATAATCATTATTATTATTAGAATTCTCTTACAATGTTAGGAGGTTGGATGACAGATGGAATATTATATAAAGCACTTTAGTATTCTCTAATACACAGCGACTTCTCAATAACACCGGGATATTTAGAAATTCTGTGTCATGTGATCTCACCATTCATAAAACATGTGCGCACGGAGTGTAAAGGGGCGTACAGAAAGAGCGAGAGTTGGGAAACGCTTGCAACTCTATACAGACTGCCAGTGCCATTGTCTCCCAGTATCTCCACAAAGATCACTAGAAATAATTGGATAAACTTTTAAAGTTTCTTCAAAGTAGAATTTGTTGCTGAGACATTTCTTCTCTTTAGGGACTACAAAAGACCTCCAGGATGATACCAACAAGAACAAAGCAGAATAAAAAAGCAGAAAGCCCTCTGCTGGTGATGAGTGAAACTGCAGTCTTGCTGCAGGATGGCCTTCCACGTGAGCAGAGGGCTTCAGCCTCCCTACTTGTTGATAGGAAAGCAGACCCTGGTTAATCTAATCCCTAAGTTTTAAGGTTTCATCCACTGAGAGGTCCATCCTCCTGAGGGTCACAAAGACATTCGGTCCTTTGGGTCTGACACAGCATATAGCAAGGAGACTAGATGGACCATTTCTGAAAGCTTGAGTTGTGACTGTCCTGAGGTGTAGGGAAGCAGTGTCACCCATATCCTCATAGTGCCATTTGTGTTAGAAAGACGACAATGTAGAGTGTCTATGCGAAACTGCAAATGTATACTGGTATCTGAAAGAGACTACGGTGAGGGTGAGAAGCAAGAGGAAAGCAGTCAATATACAATAATATCCTGTTAGAAAGAAGTCCAGGGTCCTGGCACCTGCTGGGTGCAGCCGCTATGGAAAGGCTGCATCCCCCTGAACTATGGGACTACTGTCCTCCTGGGATGACATCTTGGTTACTCCAATCCCCTTGCTTCCCTTAGAATGTGAGAGTCACTGTGGAGGCCAATTGTCTATTTATAGCTTCAAATCTCTAGGTCACTGATACCTTCTTTTTCTCTCTTTTGACTGTTGTGTGTGTGGAGGGGTGTCTATCTGTATCTAAAATAATCCCCCATAAATAGTGTCTCTATTTTGTCCCTGGAGGTCTGCTCCCTGCAGCCAAGAGTAAGGGTCAGATCTACAGATCACTAAATTTTCTTGACTATATTGTTTAGAGATTTGTTTTTATTTTGAAGTAGTCTGAAATCAGTGCATATTTAAAACTTGATAGTTCACCTCAATCTAAAGTAGTCCCTACAAAGTTCATTCTTGTAACAGTAAGTAACCAGGTGTTGATTGGAGTCATGAGAGTTAGGTTCTCAAAGACAAAGGATTTGGGGATGTTTGCAGTCCCTTGAATGGTTTCTTTAAATCACATGTATTTTTTTAAATGTCCTCACAACTCAACTCTGGAATGTCAGCACTCACTCCCCAAGATGGTCTTTCCTGTGGGAACCCTGTGCACAGTTACAGGCACCCCAATCTTAGCACCAATGGAACCAGGACACTTGGCACCAAAAGCTAAGGTTCATTACCCAAGAATCTCCATGTTAAAGGACAAAAACAGTATCCTCTTGCCTGTGGTCAGTTCAGTTGCCCAGTTTTTAAAACTTTATTAAAGAAGACACAATGAGTCGAAGAGAGGTATGGAGGTTGCTTGCTCTCTTAAACATTCCAGAGATGAAAATTTCCCATTACAATCATCTGGTGTCTAGTCCTCCTGTGAGTGGTGTGGTTTTATCAACTGGAAATGGAGTCAGGGCTTCAACACCAAGAGCACAAGGGAGACAGTCGTGCCCCACTTAGCACAAAATGTAGCTAAGATTTTTCTCCTCCTCCACAGAGCTTGCAATCCTCAAGCCTAGAAACCATTCCTGACCCAACACAACACTAAAGCTTGGGGTTTGTTGAATGCCAAGTTTGGTACGTACTGCTTTGGTGAGCATAACAAACAGAACATAGTCCACTCATGAAGAAGGCGTTTTCCACAGACAAATCAGAGTCCATGGTACCAGTGTCCAAAAGCCACATTCAGACAGGAAAACACATCTGCCTCTGCCCATCACCTCATGGAATCCAGACAACGCAGAAAAACGTTAGTTAAAAACCAGGCTCAGGGTAGGAGGTTTCTGCAGAGTCCAGCCCCTGTGGCAACTCTCAGTGGCACTGGTAGAGTGAGGGCGTCCACACCAAGCCAGATTCCTGCTTTGGGACTCATTAACTTCAGAGGGGAGATCATCCATGCTGAGTCTCAGCCAAGCCCCAGGTCATCATAGCTGTCAGGCTCAGGAATAGGCAGTAGCATGATCACTGCCTTCAAAATAAGACAGCTATCCCTCACCCTTAACAAACTCCTTAGTCAAAGAAGCCAGGTTTAGAAAACACAGCTCTCCCCTACCATTGCCCTGTGATTGCCACATTCCTTGGTAGAGCAGTTAGCTCATCCAGGAATCGTATAGCACAGCAAGCTAGGGTTCTTTCCACTATCCCTGGCTTGCTCCAGAGAACACACCCGCACCCCTGCCCCTTTGCCCCAGCCCAAACAAATCATCGTTTAGTAGAGTGGCAGTTCCCTACCTGAGGGTGGCGCTCTCCCCCTGCCTGACCGTCACGTTGTCCATAGCTTTGGGAAAGGTGGCATCTCCGCTACGCACCGGCACTCCTGTGGGTACAAGGAACAGCAGCCTGAGAGACACGACCACGAGGCACTTCCAGGGCAGGAACAGGTACCCACAGACCCCCATTCTCGACAGCCACAACTTCCCAGAACTCCGGTAGTGGCACGCACACGCCCCCCGGGCGAGCACAGGAAGTGGGTGGGGTGGGGAGTAAGCGCGGGGACCCGGCGATGAACTAGCGGCGACCGCGCGATGCACTGGGAGGAGAAAAGCGCGCAGACTCCTCCAAGTCTAATATTCCTCCCCTAAATCCAGCCTCAGCTCGCAGCCTCCGAGAACCAGTTTCCACACATCCGAGGGGGACTTTCTCCGCGCTGCCTGTGGCCAGGAAGGTGGCCAGGAAAGAGAAGCGCAAGGCAAGCAAGCAGGCACACAGGTGCGGGTCTCAGAAGCTGCCTCTTCCCCGTAGCAGTTCAGGCATGGCACTTTGTACAGGAGTAAGCACTTTGGTATCCAACGGGGCTGTGGCTGGGTTAAATCCAGCTACCCAGATGTGGTCTACGATTCCTCAATCGAACAAGGGGAAATCCAGCACTTTCTTAAGTTTCAGAGCAAGGCTCGCCGCCAGAAACAATCTGGAACAATAGCAGATGGAAAGTAGAGCACGCAAGAGGCGGCAAGGATGGTGCGAGGAGACGCCTGCTAAGCCGGCTTCGTGCAATCCGGACTGGAGAATCCTGCCGCAGAGCCACGGTCAACTTCCTCAGAGCACAGATTTGAGCCGCAGCTAGGGCTGTCTCTGCAGCGCAGCAGCGAGGCTGGAGCAGCGCGACAGGGGCGGACCGCAGCAGTCCCTAGCCCGCTCTCTGGCTCGCTGCAGAAGGCGAAGCGCAGTCGGCACCGGAGCCGCGGACGCCACGCTCAGCAGCCGCCCCCGGCCTCCGCGCTGCCTTCCTCCCGGGAGCAGCCCCGACGCGCGCGGGCCCCGACCGCCGGGGTTGTCATGGCAGCAGCTCCATCCCTGACCGCCACTTTCTCTCTTAGCCGACTCCAAGCGATCCGGCTGGCGGGCGGCACGGACTGTGCGCTCATCCCGACGGGTGCGGGGCGCGGGCGCCCACCTTAACCCCCGCCGCGCCGGGCCAGGGCAGGACGGTGTATCACCTCTGGCCACCGGTTTAACCATTTCTGAATTCAAAGAGCTAGCTCTTCGCAATTAAGAAGACAAAGTTACTGTGAGGTCTTAACAACCCTAGATATCTTAATAAGGGTCACAAACTAACTAGGAAGAGAAGAGCCTGCAGCATGCACATATATGCACCTTTAAAATGGTCAAATTAATTCTATCAGCATTGAGAGTACATTTACGTTAGGAGGATGCTTTAAATAATCTCGTTTTTATTCAATGTTACACCACCCTTTGCACTACACCCACCCTCTTAAAACCCCGCAGACTCAACACAACCATTTCTAAGAGATCGTCCATGTAAAAAACAAATGTGGAAATTCCAGAAGCATCTGGGTTGATAAAATGAACAAAATTCCTTTAAAATGTTGGTCAAGTTCAACACAGCCTTTCTCAATCCCTCAACTCCACCGATGACACTGAATATGCTACCCAGGTAAAAGGTACACAGACATGGGCCAATGTAAGCCACAGCCTCCTTTGTAAGGAAGAGTCTCTGGGTTTTGGGTTCACACTCTGGCATACCTGATTTCATCTCCAAGAGGCGTGGCTTTCGTTAAATCTTTGTTGCCCAAAGAAAGACAGTGACTTTTCTCTGTCTACTGCTGGTTCCTCTGTGCCTACATCTTGTTTCTCCCTTCACCCTAGCTCTGATGGACCCTGCCTGGTCCCTGTACAGGTAACAGGGGCAGATTGGTAGAACAGTGTGGGTAACACGAATAGGCTCCCTTCTCAGGGACTTCCAATCCTGAGCTCCAAATACTGTCCTGAATTGTTACTGGAAATGAAAGGGAGGATACACTGGTTCTGTTTATTTCCCTAGACTTTCTCTTGCATTCAGTTGGGGTACTATTTTAGAAAGCAAGCTATGAAATAGCAGTGGGGGGGGGAGTGCTTCTCCAAAGCTATCCAACACCAGATACCAAAACATTACTACAGAACCATTATTAACCTCGGAGGTGCTGGTACCACCGAACATTGGCACTATTGAGCCACACCAGCCATTTCCACGTAGATAGTATGTAAGATCCACAAGTGCACGTCTCCCACAATCTCCCACTCACAGCACTACAGTGGAGGAGTGGGCAGAGGTCAGCTTTGGAATGTGTTAGCCAAACTCACAAGTGACAAAAGAAGAGGAGCAAACTTGCTCTCCTGACTTTATAGTTGCCCAAACACTTCTGAGCTATGAGGTATTGAGCAGCTTTACACTGGAGGTATCAAAGTACTTGACATCAATTCATTACTGACCAATTCCCTATTGTCTCCTCTAGTGACTTCTTCTGATATTAAAGTCTCAGGGAACTCATCCACTATTTTTGATCCCAAGGAACCTTTTGACATATGGTGCCAAAAAATGCTGGCTGTTGACTTATGACAACAACAAATGGCTTTTTTTTTCCAAAGCCTATTTTGTCTCATTCTCCAATGGGAAAATATGAAAATCTGATATTAAACTGTTTCATTCCGTTGAACTGTTCATGAGCACGGACAGAAAGTGTGAGTTTCTATTTGTTGGTTAATAGGCTCCTGGGTTCAAGACTCTTCCATTAAATCCAGCACATCACTAATAATTCACTAACTATCCCTCCTCTGGTCCCATCACAAGCTCTCTTCCTAATGCCACACCCATGGAGACAAACACCTTTTGGGTTTCGGAGCCATTTCCTTCCAGATTCAGGCCTGAAAACGAATGGGGCTGACTCCTTTCATGACAAATTTCATTGAGTCTCATGCATCTAATTCTGAAGAGGCACAAATGAGCATTAGGTTTTGCATTTAGGAATGGGGATAATGACAACCAACAGGCTGTCCCAAGGGACCAACGTACATGATTAACTCTACAGGAAAAAATACTTAGAAAACCATTTAAGATGGAAGAGGTTTTATTAATACATTTTTTTTCCGTTTCTGCTTCGTTATTATGGCTAGACAGAAAAAAAAATAATCCTCACGGGCTCCTTGAGACATAGTCTATCTGGCCTGAATGCATTTCCTCTTAGGCAGGTAGGATGCTTTTGTCTCAGACTATGAGGAACAGTGCTAACTTGCAGCATCCCAGTGGCTGTCCACAGAAACCCCCACAGTGCTCAGGTAACTCTTCAGGAGGACAAAGAAAAGCCACTCACAACCTCTGCTCTGTGAGCCCAGGGAGTCTAAGCTCTACTCACAAGTAAAAGTCAAGAAAGTGGCCTAAGGTCAGAGATTCCCACATAATTAACAAGACAGATCGGCTTCATTCAAACCTGCTATTGAAGTGCTTTAAAAAAAGATGAAGATCAAAATCGCATGTCAATTGCCTTCCCATCCCCTAATCCCTAAATATAACCAGCACTTAGTGGCTTATCTTATATCCTGTCTCTGGCTTCATAAAAACTGCTGGATTTATTTTATTTTTCCCAGCATATCTGAGTTAATGAAAAAGGGATGACAGTCAGAGCAATTTCATTATTTGTGTTCTTTATAGAAACAACTTCCTCTCTGCCTCCTGGAAGGCAGACTCCTAAGGAGCACCACCTCCAGCTCTTTTCACCTCCCAGCCCCCCTCTCCCTCCTCCCGTCTTTCTCACATACACATATACTGTACACATAAATCAACTTGTCATAGCTTGTCTCTACACTGACAGCTGTAATTGCTTCAAGTTATAAAAATATCTTTAGGACAATACCTTTCAAGCTCTCTCTCTCTCTCTCTCTCTCTCTCTCTCTCTCTCTCTCTCAGGTATACACACACACACACACACACAGACACAGACACAGACACACACACACACACACACACACACACACACACACACGGAAGCAGATTAGAGTGTGTGGTGGCTTCTCCCTGACCTGGCACCTGTACCTGTACACTGAACTAGGGTTTGAACTGGGAGAAGTTCTGATGATGGTCAGTCCACTGGGCTTTTGTTTTCCTTTTTACTTTATGTTACCTACAGCAAGCTAGGGTGAGCTAAAGAGCCATGGCTATTCCACCATGCAAGAAACAAGAGAAAGAGCAGTAGCTTAAGAAAGGCCAGCTCTAGTTCTCTACAAAAGGGAAAGGCCCCCCTCTCCTGGTGGAGATTTCAAACAGAAGTACAGGCACTATGAAAAATGCAGGGCGGTTAGTGAGTGGCCTGACATCAAATAGATATTGGAAGATTTAATCAGAAAGAGCAGTGTAAATCTGGATAAAGAGGTGCCTCCAGGGGTGTAGGGAAGGGCTGGGCTTTGGAAAAAAAAATATGTGCTATTTTTTGCTCCTCTATGAATACAGGATCACAATAAAAACCACTGCTCATACGGGCTGTACTCCAGTGTGTTAGGATTTCAGTGGGAAGAGCAACGAGGCACCATGAAGACGGGAAGATCGCTGCATGGACAGAAAAGAGGTCAGAAATAGAGAGATCCGAGAAGAAGGAGATGACGAAAAAGCAGGGGCATAGCTGCCCATCCGTGGGCTTTGAAGCCCACAGAACTGTATAAGAGATGCACAAAGCAGAGAGGCTGTAGGTCAAAAGCTATAGAGGGCAGCTGAATGAGCCAAAATCAAAGTGCCGTAATACAAAGGGTAGGTATCCAGAGAGAGCATCCCAAGAGTCAGAGAGGTTGGGACAAAATTGTCTCTTGTGTAAGACGTAGATCATAGTAAAAACCTCAGACCCGGAGAATCACAGAAGGATGCCTCAGAAAGAATGTGGGAAGATGTGAAATATGTACCTCATTTTAAGAAGTAAGGGATGAGTCCCAGAAGGCCATACTAAGTATAAAGCTAATGACAGACAAAGCAGGACAAGAACTCAACACTCCTGACACTTTTCCTGCTCTCTTTCTATTGGTCCACAGCTATGGGCACGGCTTAAAGAGCTGACTGTCAAATACTGACTTTTTGCTATATCCGGGGAGCCATGCAGACAACTAAGGAGGAGAACACAAGTTGCTTATGATTACGCTGGGCATCCAGTAATTCCACCGAACCTGATGCATTCCGTAAGCCAGCACATATAGAGAGCCTCTGTTGATGACTAGATAAAGATGGAGAAGAGAACCCACGCCTGCTGCTGATGCCAGCACTCAGGTGCTCTTGGGTTTCTCAGCAACATTATTCACACTGAGATCCACAGATGTTGAAGTTCTAGTGAACTCAGATTTGTTCTCCCCTAAGCTGGGGAAAATAAACGGAAACCTATCTTCTCCTTAAGAAGCAAATCTCTGGTGCTTGTCCAGATTTCTAGGCACAAAATTGGCCTTTCTAGAGTCATTCAGTAAGAGAGGGGGAGTACACGCAGGGACGTGCTAATGTGGAACAAATTCTCTAGTCAGGAAAGCCCACACCGAGCGTGCTGTCTACCAAGAGGTACAGAGAGCGTGTAAGTAGTTTCTCAAAACCAAGAATACATTTATGGTATAAGCACCATGGGGAAAAAATAAATGG